ACACACACACACACACACACACACACACACACACACACACACATGTGTGCCTTGATTTAGCAGAAATGTTTGATTCGGTAGCTCTATCATATATTATAATATTAACCTGTATTGTTGTGATTGTTGTAGAATCACATACCTTCTATAAGCTGATTTTCTTATTAAATTTTAACGACTTGTTTGGGGGGTTCATAAACGCAGTTTACAAATTAAAAGAATTATAAAGGCTTAATATTTTTTACTTGTAGTTTAAATCAATAAACTTTCAAGTTAATCCATTTGTGGCAGTCTAATACAATACCATGAAACACCAATTCAAGACAGATTATTTCCCCCGAAATAAATATTTAAAATAGGCACCAGGATCTGTTATTTTTTAAATGCGATTTATCAAAAAGTTAGTATCGAATGCGAACATTAATTTTGTGGCAACAAAGGGTATCGAGTACTAAAAAACTAAAAAAGTAAAGAATGTGAAACAATAATAAATGAGAAAATTCTACATTTGATGTTCATTTGATAAATTGAATATAAAACATATGAGATACAAATATAGACACTTTAAGTTGTAGTGTTTTATTGTTAAAAAGCAACACAACTGTTTTTCTCCATTTGAGAAGAGCATTTTATTTCGTTTTCACGGAATATCTGTGACGTTTTAGTTTTGAAAGTACAAAGTTGCGATAACTCTCAATGTTGAATGTTGATGTGTTCAGTGTTCGTGTTTTCATTGTTGACATGGCATAGAACTTGACTTAGTTTCCCATATTAACTAGATCTAGTACTCTATTGACTATCATATAACATTAAGTAAGTGGACGGGTGTGAACAAGAACATCTTGAGGGTGAAAGAAGTGGAAAGTTTTTGTTTAGTCACTTGAACTTACCCAGAAAGATGCTATCGGACTTGATAATATGCGGGTAAGTCTTCCAACTTTCTTGAAGCTTCTCTTCCTAATCCTAATCCTAGCCTACCAACTTTTTAAGTAGATTAAATCTAGACTAGATTTCTAGATCTAGATCCATTTCAAGTTAATTGACTGAGCCTCTTCTTGTACTTGTCCAAGTCAAACACGGGACTCTTTGGAAACGAAGTATACATACAGACCCGGTAACCGGGAACAAAGTACAAAGTCACGAAGTAGCCTACAGACCCAGTAGGCTAGTAGGGGAAATCTTTTGTGATTTCGGAAAGTTTCAGCGCCCAGACCCGGTATAGTGTGTGTGTATGTGTGTGTGTGTGTGTGTGAGAGAGAGAGAGGAGGGGGTAGAGAACAGGGCACTACTTGGATATATGGTATGGTGGTCCCGAACTTTAGGGACAGGGAAATATAACCCAGAGAAAATCTAGATTCTAGATCTAGAATCTAGAATCTAGTTTTGGACCCCAACGACGATTACTTCTGGTTCTAAGTCCAAACGAATACTTTTTTATTCGCGTGCCGGAGAGAGGGTATTTATTTTTCTCGAAAACACCCGAAAACGCTAGGCTAGGAAACACTCGAAAACACTAGGAATCACTCGAAATCACCTTTGTACCTTTGGATGAAATCATCATTTTAGTATCAGAAGGCAGCCTAGAATCAAAGATTAGGCTATGCTAGAAGGGAGTGTGTATAGTGTATACAGACCGGGTAACCGGGAACAAAGTCACAAAGTATACAGACCCGGCAGGGGAACTCTTTTGTGATTTCGGAAAGTTTCAGCTCCCTCTTGGCTCAGGGTAGACCTGGGTTCTTCTAGATCTATGGCCTAGGTCTAGATATTTAGACTGACAGACATGAATCATTGATCTAGTTTCGAGGCTAGCCTAGATCTAGATCTAAATGAAGAGATGTCTTTTCGATGAACGATTGTTTTTCCTCCGTTTTGGAGTTGGAGGAATCACAATTTGAAGAAAAAAACAATGTCATAATTTCAATCGGGCAGTCACTCTCTCTCTCTCTCCTCTGTGTATCGCTCGCCTTCTCTTTTTCTTTGTTTGTCTGTTTTTCTTTCTCCCCACCTATTTCCCACTCTATCTTTCTCTCGTTCCCTCCTGCCAACTGGGGCATGTCATATTAGGTACCAGAAACTAAATTTTCAAACTAGCTGTATGCCAAATTTATCTGTTCCATTTGAAAGGCCTATATCCACTGAGCATTTTGGTACCATTCTTTAACATCTCCGTCAATTTTAAAGAAAATTGTAGTTGTTTTGATCAAATTTATTAAAGTCAGTCACTGGCTGCAACCCCATGTTTGACAGTCAATAAAAAAAGTACTAAGTGCACTAAACATCCACATTAACAGAGTACAATCACTATAACAAATATATGGAGCGTAATTTTTTTCAAGACTGTGAGATCTTTACAAATCAGTATTTTATCGCCTCAAACACGATGATCTGTCTTTATTTCGACAAAAACATCGAGCGTTGACCCGGCCGGCGCTGCACCGGCCCCCGCGGCGAGCGAGTCGGCTTATACTGTAGTGTACCCCGCGTGTGGGGTCACATGCTTTCCGAGTCTCGCGGAAGGATTGATGAAAAATAATTCCAACTTAATTACTTTATTATAATAGAAAATAAACTGATCTTTTAATTAATTGATATGTTTTATAAGCCGGTATTTTACATATTTTGTGTAAAAAGTGATCTTTAAACATTTTGACGGTATTTTTAAAAGCTTTCTATAAAGACACCAAAGGCTAAACTTATATCACGGGAAAGCCCGTTTAAAGCTCTACAGTTCTCCACCAATGAAAAGACGGTATTTAATCAACCCCTCGTTCCGCGAAGCATTTGAATGCACGCGTGTCAATTTTTCAACCAGCCGACCTCGCATTCCGACAGCGAGGGGCTTAGCTTTCGTCGGCGATTCTCCAGCTCCTAATAATCGGACATATAAACAACTTACACCATTGCAACGAGGAAAAGCTGAACGTTTACAAGGTGTACGGCATTTGGTGTTTTATAACGAAAGAGCAAAGAAACAGGGATCGGAATTAACCCGATTTTACCGATACCGCGCGGTCGGAAGGCCGCGAGTGCCCGCGAGGCGGTGTTTACGCTACCTAGTCATATATACATTTTGCTAGCACCTCTCTTCTCTCTCTCTCTCTCTCTCTCTCTCTCTCTCTCTCTCTCTCTCTCTCTCTCTCTCTCTCCCCCCCCCTCTCTCTCTCTCTCTCTCCCCCCCCTCTCTCTCTCTCTCTCTCTCTCTCTCTCTCTCTCTCTCTCTCTCTCTCTCTCTCTCTCTCTCTCTCTCTCTCTCTCCCCCCCTCTCTCTCCCCCCCTCTCTCTCTCTCTCTCTCTCTCCCCCCCCTCTCTCTCTCTCTCTCTCTCTCTCTCTCTCTCTCTCTCTCTCTCTCGGTGGCAAAGACAATCTCGTCACGGCCATGAGACGAAAATCGAGGCTTTGGTTGGTAAACGTCCTGGGGTAAGGTATCAAAGGGATTTCGAGTGATTCCTGGTGTTTTCGAGTGTTTTCTAGTGTTTTTGAGCGTTTTCGAGAAAAATAAACACCGCAGAGAGATAGCCTTTCAAACCTAGAGATCTAATTGCAAAACATCAAATCGTGGTCAAATTCAGGGGGGCGAAACACCCCCATGTTTTGTGTTTTTTTTAAGTCAGGGGGGCAACCCCCCTTGCCTTGTGAAAAACAAGTGAAATTTTACTGCTCATTTTGTAGGCTAGAGGCTACTGATAAAACATAAAACATTGATACCAACTATTTAAATCAGTATCGATATTTCAGTAGGTAGGCCTACACAAAAGTCGGGACCACCATATTCAAGTAGTGCCGAGAAGAGGGGGAAGTGCTAGAAAATATCACATGCCCCATTTGACAGGAGGGAATCATGAGAGAAAGAGTGGGGAAGTAGGTGGGGGAGAAAGAAAGACAGAGACAAACAAAGAGAAAGAGAAGACGAGCGATACATAGAGAGAGAGAGGCAGGCAAAAAAAGGGGAGAGAGACAGAGAAATAAAGACGGTGACTGCTCGATTGAAATTATGACATTGTTGTTTTCTTCAAATTGTCTAAGTGATTCCTCCTACTCCAAAACGGAGGAAAAAGGATGGTTCATCGAAAAGACATTCGCAGTCTTTATTTAAATCTAGATCTAGGCCTCGAAACAAGATCTATGATTTATGTCTGTCTGTCTACTAACTGTCTATCTAGATCTAAACCTAGGCCATAGATCTTTAAAAGAAAAACCTAGGTACTAGGTAGGTCTACCCTGAACCAAGAGGGCGCTGAAACTTTCCGAAATCACAAAAGATTTCCCCTACCGGGTCTGTATGCTTCATGGCTTTGTTCCCGGTTACCGGGTCTGTATACACTTCCCTTTGGAAATTGCCTTCCCGTTTGTTTCTAGATCTAGGTATCTAGATCTAAATCTATATCTACACAGATCTAAGATACAGAAGTGATTGCTACGGACAAAAAAGTGGCCATGTTATGTAAGTGTTGGCGCTTTTTTGGTAGTTCCCACCCCGCAATTCTTATTCACTGGTTTTGGTCCCAGAAGTAGGGGGGGGGGGGAGGTTTCAGGGGGGCTTAATAAAAGTATGGTTGGGGGTTTCATGGGGTGCCCCCTGAATTTTACCATAAATTTAATGTTTTGCAGTTGTTAGGTTTGATAACTTAGCTTGCCGCGCATCAAACGTAGATCTATGTAGATCTAGGCTCAAGTCTAATATGGGGGGGGGGGGGGGAACCACAGAGAAAGCACCGCTAAGTGACCCCTACGACCGTTAGCCAGTAATTGTAATATTTTTCTGCCTTTTTTGTATTAAATATTCTTTTTGACCGGATTGAACTTTGATGGACCCACAGTGTTTACATGTGTATGTGCAAGATACCAGTGAACTCGTCACACGGGGAAGTCATCACATACCTCCAGTGATCTCGTCATGTAGGTTTGTGGGGCAAATTCGGCCACGGGTAAACTTCAACGCTGCCCCAACCTAGACTTGGCTTTTGTGCATCATTTGACCCATGTGTCGTTGCACATTTGATTCAATCTAAAAATAAAATCTGTGCTTCCTTGGTTTCCACTTGTTTTTATTTTTTAGTCAAAAAGCTCCAGAAAACTCCGTCTTCGCATACTTTTCACACTAAAAAGCTGGTGCAAATTCGACAGGGCGAAAAGAGGCAACTTCGACAGGAGGTGAAGCAAAAGTTAGGCCTTCTATCAGATTAAATAATTTGAAGGGGAAAAAGCTCAGAAAAGGAGGAAGACAGACAACGGTAAATTTATAGAAAAGGCCCATTTGTATGCCAGCTTTTTTTACTCAACTTCTGTTTTTGTTTCCGATTGTGCACATAGATCTATGTTATAAATTTGTAAGGCGTTAGCTCGGGACCATTTTTCCCGAAGAGTGCCATTCACTGTTATTTGGATACTTTTTTCCGGTAAACTGGCCGCACGTTTTTCAGCTGTGACGACTTCGGCGTCTGACGAGTTCACTGGTCCCCTATGCGCACAAGCCATAACAGTGAGTGGGGGGTTTTAGGGTTTTCTTACAGAGTCTGCTGTTACGTGGTCCACTGTTTAGTAGTATTTTCCTATATGCGGGTCATCCATATATTGCCGAATTTTAAAACGGCATAACTTTTTTATTTAGGAACTGATTCTTTTAATTAGAAAAACGTCTCTTAGAATTGAAAACTCTTTCCTAGGTACCAAATAAAGATGAGCTAAAGCGAAAAATAAATTTTTCATTGGCATTGCTTCAATTTATGTGTAAAGCGCAGAGCTGGCTGTCGAAAGGGGATGCGCTGACAATGCAATTATTATTATTGTTATTGTATTATTATTATTATTATTATTATTATTATTATATTATAAGACAAATGAACAAGTTTAGCATGATTCCAATACCCCAAATGCCCCCAAATTGATGATCGCCTGATTCTACTGTGTTATGACACATTTA